CGGTAGATTGCGTTTTTCTGCCCTTCCTGTCCTCCCTCCCGCTGATCATGAAATTATCGAACAGTCCCCGACCGCAAGTCATGTGACCAGGTGAAACGTATACGCCGAGGCGGCGAGCTCGTCGCAGCGCATATTTTGTCAAAAAATGGGTACTTTAAAAGCTCGTAAAGCACGGAAACTTGTCAGAAATTCAGGGGAGGCATATAGGAACATATTTGTGGTGGTGGATTTTGCCGGCGTTGCGCGAGGGCCGAAATTTTGCAAAGAGTAGTGGGCGTTCGCAGCGAACCCGGAAGTAAAGTGGGCGTTCGCCAAGAAGAGAAAAAACCCAGTAAATTTCGATTTAATTAAGTTCGGCTCGATGGATTCGCTTCAAACTTGGCATGGACACCCGGGAGCACACTCTGGACATGACCACACAAAAAATTTTAAGATTCGTGCGACAATTTTTGGGCTTTCGTGGGCGTTCGCTAAAAAGAGAAACCCTAAATACGTCGATTAGCTACTCGCCTTCCCCTTCGGTTTTGTGGGCAAATTTTTGCTTTTTCAGACGTTTTGGGACTTAAAAATGGACAGCAGGTGAAAAATAAATAATATACATTATATTCATGGGAAATACCGCTATCATGGACCAAATATTTATCTGTGACGTGTTGCCGAAATTGCGGCCGCCGGCCACTTGCTGATGGTGCGGTACGTACGGACATTATTTTTTTCCCAAAAAATAATAAACGTACCGTCCCTAATAAGAGTGTACCGGGTGGACGTTCGGGCCGAAAAAAATAAACGTACCGGTACGTTTAATCGGGACATCAGAGTACATACATTTTGACCACTTGTTTAACAACATGTATATTTAATACCCATGTCTATCTATGTTTATTGTGGAATGGTGTTTTACAGTAGAATTATATTAAGAATATGTTTTTGTTTTGTTTTGCTTGTGTGATATTTTCTCATTGTTTTGTTTGTTTACCTTGTTTTGTTTTGTTTTATGTCGACTTTTGTTTTCTTGGTTGCATTCTCTTTTTGTTTGCTGGTGGTTGATGCTGTCACTAACTGTACCTAACCCACTAACCCCACGAGCAGTAGATGGCTACAGACCAGACACACGCCTGCCGCACTGGCACGGTACGGGACCCGATCACGAGAGAGTGCAGCACACGCACACGGACAGACAACAGGACTTGCACAGACACGACAGACATACTACTTCTCACTTAAATCACGATGTACATTATCGAGATTCTGACAGAACGCACACTCACGAACCTAGACATGTGAGAACGCATGAGCGACAGTTTGTTCCGCATGACCACAGAGAATGGGAAGATGATATAACAGATCACCCATACGATCAGGAAATACTGTATGATCACCACCAACAACAGGAGACAGAAGAAGCAATGGACCCCCTTCTCTTGCACATGATGGCCACTGACAAAGCACAGGAGCCAGATGAAGCAGATCACTTTGAGGAGAGGATAGAATTTTTCTTTACCGAGGATGATTTGAATGTCATGCAGCAGCCAGGTGAGGTATGGAGAGGTAGAACATTAAAGTCAGTCGATGTAGAGGGAAAAGATACTAAACCTGTTCCAAGTACCAAAAAGCAGTGGACAGAGGAAGAAATTATGGCATCAGAGCACCTTCAGAAAGAAGAGACCACATCAGAAGAGGACAAGGAGACCAATGAAATAGATGAACATGTTGCAGAGAATGAACATAGGGAACAAATCAACACAGAACAAGATAGTACAGCACCACCTGACACAGAAGAGTATCAGCCTGAGGCAGAGCAGGATGGTAAGGAACACACTGAAAGAGAAGATGGTAAGAAGGAAGAGCCAGATGTTGAGGGAGTTGGAAGGGAACAAACTGAGACAGCAGAAGATAGTAGTAAGAAGGAAGCTCAGACAGAAGAGGGTAACTTGGAACAAAGTGGGACAGAGCAAGATAGTAAGGAACAGTCTGAGACAGAAGAAGAGAGTAAGAAACAGTCTGGGACAGAAGAAGAGAATAAGGAACAGTCTGAGACAGAAGGATATAGCAAGGAACAGTCAGAAGAAGGCAGTAAGGAACAGCCAGACACAGAAGAAGACAGTAAGGAACAGCACGAGACAGAAGAAGAGAGTAAGGAACAGCCTGAGGCAGAAGAAGATAATAAGGAACAGCCTGAGACAGAAGAAGATACTACGGAACAGTTGAGACAGAAGAAGAGCTAAGGAACAGCTGAGGCAGAAGAAGAGAGTAAGGAACAGCCTGAGGCAGAAGAAGAGAGTAAGGAACAGCCTGAGACAGAAGAAGAGAGTAAAGAACAGCCTGAGACAGAAGAAGAGGCTAAGGAACAGTCTGAGACAGAAGAAGAGAGTAAGGAACAGTCTGAGGCAGAAGAAGAGAGTAAGGAACAACCTGAGACAGAAGAAGAGAGTAAGGAACAGCCTGAGGCAGAAGAAGAGAGTAAGGAACAACCTGAGACAGAAGAAGAGAGTAAGGAACAGCCTGAGGCAGAAGAAGAGAGTAAGGAACAGCCTGAGACAGAAGAAGAGAGTAAGGAACAGCCTGAGACAGAAGAAGACATTAAGGAACAGCCTGAGACAGAAGAAGAGAGTAAGGAACAGCCTGAGACAGAAGAAGAGAGTAAGGAACAGCCTGAGACAGAAGAAGAGAGTAAGGAACAGTCTGAGGCAGAAAAAGACAGTAAGGAACAATTTGAGACAGAAGAACAGAGTAAGGAACAGTCTGAGACAGAAGAAGAGACTAAGGAACAGCCTGAGACAGGAGAAGATAATAAGGAACAGCCTGAAACAGAAGAAGAGAATAAGGAACAATCTGACACAGAAGACGATGGCAAGGAAGCATCTGAGACAGAAGAAGAGAATAAGGAACAGCCTGAGACAGAAGAAGAGAGTAAGGAACAGCCAGAGGCAGAAAAAGACAGTAAGGATGTAGAGAAGAAAGATACTAAACCAGTCCCGACTACCAAAAAACAGTGGACAGAGGAAGGAATTATGGCATCAGAGCACCTTCATGAAGCAGATGATCTCAAGGAGCAAACTGAGGAAGAAGACAGTCTCAAGGAACAAACTAAGACAGAACAAGTTAGTAGTGAACCACCTATGGTAGAAGAAGATAAAAAGGAACCGCCTGAGACAGAAGAAGATAGCAAGGAACATCAGAAGAAGAGAGTAAGGAACAAGCTGAGACAGAGCAAGATGTTAAAGAACAGCTTGAGCCAGAAGAAGATATTAACGAGCAAGCTGAGACAGACCAGAATGTTAAGGAACAACACGAGACTGACCAGGATACTGAGACAGAAGGGGACCTAATGAAGGAACAAACTGAGACCAATGAAATTTCTGAAACAGATGAACGAACCAATGACCAGCCTGACAAAGCAGGACAACGCCGAGGTTTTACTCCCAAGCACAGGTACATGTCAGTGATGCTCAAATCAAGGGATGAGGTCTTTCAGATGACGGTGTTAGATCAAGCAGGTGGGACAGACTCAGATATTGCAAAAGAGGTAGTGGAAGAAGATGGATTGTTGAAGGTAAATAATGTAGAAAAGGAGGAGGAAGGCAATGCAGCTGTAGAACAAGATGCAGTGGAAGTTGCTGTTGCAGATGGACCAAATGTAGCAAGAAAGTTCAGTTCAATGAAGACTGACAGGCCTTCCTATGCTTCTACAATATTTGGTGACGGCGTTGTCCACAAGGACTTTCTGCTGACTGAAGCAGAAGAAATACGTGATAAGTTGTCAACTGACCATCCAAAACAGGAGGTAGAAAGAAAACTCGTGGAGACTTTTCTTCCTAATACTCATGACAGTGCTTCGCGTTTGCAATCAGTGTTGGGTAAAGGTTTGAGAGACAGCGACAGTAGAAACGCCTACATCCAGGTGATGACAAGTCTGTACTCTGATGAAACCGAAGCTACATTTTCTCTAAAACCAGCACCAACACTTACACCTGTTGCTGAGGACATCATCCTTGATGCAGAGGTACTTCAGAAGGATTTAACAGTTTTGGGAGACCGCATGCCTTTATCCCATGATGTGCCCAAAGTCCTCACTGAAGGTGACTTAAAACTCACATACTTACAGGTGATGATGGGACCTAACTCGGAAAAGATGCCACTAAGCACACTAACACCCTCAGCTACCAGAGCCTCCAAACCTACACATGAAGAAGTGAAATCACAGGAATCTGCTCAGGCAGTTTTTACAGTATCTGGTGATCAAGTGACCCCACCAGTCACAAACATTGTTCACACAGAGCGTGCCTCCACAGTAACATACATGCAGGTGATGACTGGGATTTCTGTGGATGAAACATTGCCGACTTCAACAAAGCTCAGAGAAGCACCTGCAGCCAGTGAGGAAGGGCATGCGATGCTAGAGACAGATGTGAGAGATTCTGATGATCAAGTCCCAACACCTGCCATCACACAAAAGACCCAACGGAATATGCCACAAAACCCACATATACACAGGTCATCTTGGGTCTTACCAGAGTGAGATAAGCTCAGAACTGCGTCCACTTGAAACCACAGAACATGAGCCTAGACCTGATGACATAGAAGACACCAGTCAAGAACAGAAACCTATAGACACTCGGGAAACATTGCCTCCAAAGCAACCGGTACCCTCAACAGTCTCCAGCAAAGTGTTGGAAGTGCACAGAGATTCTGTTCCCAATCCCACATATTCACAGGTGTTGACAGGTGCATATCACAGTCAAACAACACCTGAAACACTGTCCATGCCTGAAACACTGTCTACAGGAATAAACATAGACCTGACTGTCAAAACAGAAGGGAAAATTCCTCGGGATGAGATTCCTAATCTCCCTGCCTTGACCAGTGTTTCCAGAGAGAGCAGCTCAAGGCTCACATATCTGCATGTGATGAGAAAATCACACTCTGACCAAACAGCAGATGAAACCGTGATAGGATCAGCTCACAAACCAGAAGCTGTTACCGTAGTGCCAATCAGCAAGGTAGATGACTTCTCCACAACAAAAACTCCCAGAGCTGCATACTCAACAGTAATGACAACCATTCACCTGACAGAAACAGTTAGTGAAACACCCACACAATCAGTACCAGTAGCTGACATTATCGTACCAGAATTGGAACAACATCCTGTGCCAACTACTAAGCCTAGTCAAGTCTCAACATCCTCCTTGCCAGCCAAATCACCTACAAAGAGTAGTGCCAAACTGACTTATTCTCAAACAATTGGATTAACTTTGTCTGATCAGAGTCTATCAAACAAAGCAGACCACCTGGATGAACGTCTTGCACAGAAAGATGAATTGATTTCTACTACTTCTGACAAAACAAAACCAGTAACTACTTCTGACAGAGATCTGGATCAACATGTTGAAGAAACGAGTCCACCAGTTTCTACTGACCAGATCGCTTCTTCCATTGTGTCCAAAGTTTCTCCCACAGACACCACAATCAGTCCAACATACTCCAGAGTAATGACAGAGCTTTACAAAGCTCACATAACACTGGAAACCGAGACACCCTCACTGAAAGTGCACAAAGCAGTGAGGACATATCTGAACATAGTGCCAAACCTAAGGACTCAGGAATTAGTGCCAAACCTAGAGACTTAGAAGACAGTGCCAAACCTATGGATGCAGAACACAGTGCCAAACCTACATACTATCTGGTGATGACAGGCTTTCTCAAAGAAGATGAAGAAAAAGTTTTGAGACATCCAGTGCCAACAACTTTCCTAAAAGCTGATAAAGACAGCAGAGAAATATTGGAAGTTGCAGAGAGAGACGATGAACAGACCAAATTCCCTACTAAAAGTAGTGCCAAACCAACCTACTCTCAAACAATCACAGACATCTATTTTGCTCAGATAGTACCTGAAACATCAGTCGAAGGAGTCAGCAAAGCTGCTGCATCAACAGACCAGGATCAGCACATCACCGAGCCAATTCTATCTGCTGATCTAAAGGAAAGTGCCCCTGTGGCCAGACTTCCAGCACAGTGGAGTACCTCCAAATCCACCTACTCACAGGTGATGTCAGAGGCTTTCTGGGAGAAAATGCACAAGGAACCCTCACAACAACCAGACGTGACGTCTGACTCTAAGACTGAAGCTGAAGTTCCTAAACCTGCTCAGATGCCTACACCTAAACCTCATGCAGAAAGAAATGTCAAACATACATACAGCCAGCTGATGCAGAGTCTGCATGAGGATACAAGTTTAGCTGGAATGCCTGAAACAACAAGTTCAGTGGTAGGCCAAGAGGAACAGACTATACAGACAGACGTAACAGTGTCTACCCGTGATCCTGTCCCTGTAGTCACCACAGCTCCAGAACTGGCTGTCAAGTCTTCTCACACAAAAGCTATCAGGTCCTCCTGGTCACAGTACCTAGAAGTCATGGTCAAGCCTCATGCTTTCACTGTATCTACCGAACCTTTACTTCTCACACCAACTTCAACTCAGCCAATACAGACAGACATGGACAGTGACACTGACACTGACAGAAAGGCAAAGGAAATTAAGAGTGGGACTGAAAGTGCCAAAGAGGATGGCTATCAGCCAGAAAGTGCCAAACACACTGCACACAGTATTGTCACATGTGAGTCACAACGACTTGCTTCAGTAGGGAGCAGGCAAAGATGCTTCCCTGTAGTGTCTCTAGAGCTGTAGCTGAGTAGTCCTGACCTCCCGCTCTTACTTTTGTACAAGAGCTGTTCACATACAAAAGTTCATCTCAACAACCTTTAGTGAGAATCAGATACCAGTAGAACTCTTCATTTCTTCAGACCTCAAGCTGAACTCACCTGTAGCATGAGTACCCCGGTAGTGCTGCTTCTTAGCATGGCTTTTTATAATTAGTGTGTGTACTAGTAGATATAGAACATGTAGTCATAAACAAAATGTCTTTACCTTAAATTTTAATAGTGGTACTACTGTACTAGTGACTAATATTGGAAATAACCTGTAGGGGTTGAGCAAAACATGATAATTGGCATTTGATTTTGATCATTTTTTTGTCTGATGGAATCTTGTCCATTTTCAGCATCTACAGAAGAACCTGGCAGGAATGTAGAGCAAAGTAGATCGCACAGAAAAAAGGGTAAGTGCCTAACATGTAATGAAGGATCAATACTTCTTTTTGCAACAGTGGACTTTTGTGTACTCTTTTGAAGTGCCATGGCATTTTGTCACTGTTGTGCTTAAATTTTGCAATATCTGCTTTAGTTCACATCTTTTAGCTACAGTGAAATCTCTGTTTCTTTGACAAGGACATGACAGAGTGGCAGTTACAACATGAAAGAATTTGTGACGTGATTTGTGAATGTGTGAGAGTACCGGTGACCTTTAAGCATGAGCAAGTATTTGTGACTTTTGGGCTGCTTTAACATAACACATCACACATACAAACAACATTCATACATACACAAACCTACCTTCCCTCCTCTTTGCATACAGCACCTGTTCTCACATATCACATACATGTACTTTTGATTTCTACAAAGAAACCATTGAGTCACTCAGAGAACCTTTTTCCATTAGGGATTGGACAATTGAAATGACATATCTTTTCATCACAATACCACTGTCATAGTTTGATTGTTGCAACATAAAGAAAAGGACATGCCCTCCGTGTCAAGGACATACAGGATATGTGGTGGTACAAAAAGCAACCTGATAAAAGTGACCTTTTCATCTTGTGTACTGCTTTTTCAAAGACTTATATGACGTATGACGCAAGACAAATGACATTTTTCTAGACCACTCATTCGTTCTTTATTCATGGTCAATGTTATTTTGTATTTGATGGAGTTACTGATGACAGTACCAAAGAAAAATCTTCCAGTCCATAAAAATGCAGTAAGATGTTAATGTGTATACAAGTGTATGTAACAATTCTTTGACTTACAAAAGAAACTATTGTTTCAATTCCAATCTTACTTGTATTTTGTAATGTAACATCTAACATCTGGCATATAGTGATTCTTGTGATTTGAAGTGATTCATGATTATCATTGATCATAAAGCTCGGTTATGATATCTGTCATTAACAGCTGCCACTGCCTTCAAGCCACTGACACCCTCACACCCGCCTGCAGTCACCAACATGCTGCCCACAGATGACACAGCACAGCCTGCCTGTCTCTTACTAACACACTGGGAACAACTAACATTCATGCACAGGCAAACCTCTGTAACTCCAGAACACAAACACACACACAGGCCATCGTCTGTAACTCCAGAAGACAAACACTACAGACACGAAATTTTACATACCTCCGTCTGCACAGAATGTCACCATTCTTCCCAGCCAAGTTATGTAGAAGTGATGAGACATGCTTTTAAGCCTTCACCAAAGAAATTACAGACCCAGCAGCCAGTTTGTTCCAAACTTTCTCTCCTAAACACATTGTTGAAGACAGATCCCTTAGAAGAAACAAAACATATAGTGGCCAGCTCAAAACTACTAGAAACAAGTCATGTACAGAATTTAGAGACATCTATGGGAGCAGGTAATTGTCCTGTTGCAAATCAACAAAGTTACACTGATGTTATGACTAGAGTAGGCCTGCCTGTCTCAACTGTCCAGAAGCATGTATCTGTTGAACAACACGTTCCAACAACTGTGCCAATCCCACACCCAAACATGCATTCGCCAAAGGAAGCAGAGCCTGTAGTGAGCACTCCTAAGCCACCAATACTGAAGTCAAAGGCAGCAATAGAAGCAAGCCCATGTCCTGCTACACAGCCCAAGTATTTGGAACTGATGACCATGACATGTATGACATGTATGACACATTTTGAAGAGGACATTTCTGTCACACAACAAAGTGCAGCTCCACAGATAGAACATGTGCTGGGCACTCCTAAAATGCCAGAAGTAAGTCAGATATTGGTCCAGGGGACTGGAGGGGAAAGGAGGCACACAGCTACACAGCCTAGTTATTTAGAGCTGATGACCATGATTTGTTTGAGTTTGCCATCAACAAGTTTTCAAAAGGACCTTTCTGTTAATCAACAGCCACTGACTGTTCCACCAACTTCCCCACAACTCTCTGTTGAAGGCTCAGAACATGTTATGATCAGCTCTAAGTTATCAAAAACAAGCAATCTTCAGAAAGTAGAAAGTGCCCTAGGGACTGGTCATTGTCCTTTCATACGCCAAAGTTATGCCATAGTTATGACAGAAGCCACAACTTCCAAGAAGGGTGTCTCTGGTATACAGGTACCAAAAGCAGCACCAAGGACAGCACCAAGCACACAGGAGTCCTGCTCACCAGTCTGTGTCCTACATTTGTTGACATACACTTGTCCACTGAAGGAAGCAGAACAAATGCTGGGCACTTCTGAACTGCCAGAAGGAAGTCAGATATTGGAGCAGGGGACCAAAGAAGAGAATAAGCACACAGCTACACAGCCTAGTTATATAGAACTGATGACCATGATGTGTTTGAGTTTGCCATCAACAAGTTTCCAAAAGGACATTTCTGTTAAACAACTGCCAGCAAGTAGACCACTGACTGTTCCACCAACCTCCCCACAACTCTCTTTCTACAGTGCTATAACGCTTGCCCCTGCACCGAAGGATTCAAGCATTCCTGAATTGTCAGAAACAAATGTTCCATTTGAGCCAGCAATTGCAATTATACCTGGCTATTGCTCTCCTTTTCAGCATAGTTACACAGAACTGATGCTAAAGGTCGTTCAACACAAGTTCACTCCTGTTACACACATTCCACCAAGGACAGTACCCAGCACACAACTACATGTGTCATATGCACAGTCCCATATCCTACATGCATTGACATGCACATGTCCCATGGAGGAAAAGCTGACAGAACTAGGTCTTCAGTTGAAACAGAGACTAAAGCAGTATTATTTGGCAAAAGTCATCTTACACAGGTTAGCTACTCAGAGGCTATGAGAAGAGTAGGCAGGCCACCAAGTATTATCCAAAAAGATGAGTCCACTATACCAGAGCCACCAAAGACAGCAGTTCTACAGCTACAGCCAACATCTCCACAGCATTTGTTCATCAATGTTATGACACTGACATGTTCACTAAAAGAGTCAGGGCGTGTTACAGAGGTTATGACAAGGGTTGGCCTTCCACCTAGCACCATCCAAAAAGATGAATCTGCTATACCAAAACTACCAAAGACAGTCCCACAGCCAACATCCCCACAGTGTTTGTTCATCAATGTTATAACATCAACATGTCCACTAAAAGAGTTGTGCCACCTTGTACAGGTTAGCCACTCACAAGTTATGACAATGGTAGACCTCCCACCCAGTACTGTCCAAAAAGATGAGCCTGCTATACCAACACCACCAATGACAGCATCAGTCCCACAGCCAACATCTCCACAGCATTCATTCATCAATGCAATAACACTGACTTGTCCACTAAAAAAATTAGATAAACTTATACAGGTTACGGCAAGAACGGGCATGTCATCCAGTATTGTCCAAAAAGATGAATCTGCTATACCAGACCCACCGAAGACAGCACCAGTCCTACAGGCAACATCCCCACAGCGTTTGTTCAACAATGTTATAACACTGACATGTTCACTAAAAGAGCCTGGCCACCGTACAGAGGTTAGACACGCACAAGTCATGACAATGGTTGACCAGCCTCCCAGTATTGTCCAAAGAGATGAGTCCGCTGTCCCTGAACCACCAAAGACAGCACCAGTTTTACAGCCAACATCACCACAGTGTTTGTTTATCAATGTAATAACACAGACATGTTCACCAAAGGAGTCAGGTCATTTTACACATGTTATGACAAGGGTAACCTTTCCTCTTATTATTGTCCAAAGAGATGAACCAGCTATACCTGATCTACCAAAGACAGCTCCAGTCCTACAGCCAGTATCTCTACAGCACTCATTCATCAATGTGATGACACTGACATGTTCACTAAAAGAGTCAGGCCACCTTGTACAGTTTAGCCACCCACAAGTTATGACAAAGGTAGACCTCCCACCTAGCATTGTCCAAACAGATGAGCCTGCTATACCAGAACCACCAAGGACAGCACCAGTTTTACAGCCAACATCTCCACAGCATTCATTCATCAATGCAATAACACTGACATGTTCACTAAAGGAGTCAGATCACCTTACACAGGTTAGTGATCAACAGGTTATGACCAAGTTTGTCCTGCCACCTACTATTGTCCAAAGAGATAAGTCTGCTGTACCAGTACAACCAAAGACGGCACCAGTCCTACAGCCACAGGATTTGTTTATCAATACAATAACAGTGACGTGTCCACTTAAAGAGCCAAGTCATTTTATACAAGTTATGACAGTAGTAGGCCTGCCATCTAGTATTGTCCAAAGAGATGAACCAGCTATACCTGGATCACGAAAGGCATCACTAGTCCCACAACCAACATCCCCACAGCAGTTGTTCATCGATGTTATAACACTGACATGTTCACTGAAAGAGTCAGGCCACCTTACACAGGTTAGCCATCCACAAATGACAAAGGAAGGCTTGCCAAGTGTTGTTCTACCAAAGACAGCACCAATCCCACAGCCAACATCTCCACAGCACTCATTCTTCAATGCAATAACACTGACATGTCCACTAAACGAGTCAGGTCACCTTACACAGGTTATCCACCCAGAAATGACAAAGGAAGGCTTGCCAGCAGTCATGTCGAGGGTTGACCTCCCACCCAAGATTGTACAAATAGATGAGTCTGCTGTTTCTGAACTACCAAAGACAGACCCAATCCTATATTTAACATCTCCACAGCATTCATTCAACAATGTTATGACACTGACATGTCCACTAAAAGAGTCAGAGCATGTTACAGAGGTTATGACAAGGGTTAGTCTTCCACCTAGCACCATCCCAAAAGATGAATCTGCTATACCAGAACCACCAAAGACAGCACCAGTTTTACAGCCAACATGCCCACAGCGTTTGTTCATCAATGTTATAGCATCAACATGTCCATCAAGAATTATGACAATGGTAGACCTTTCACTCAGTATTGTCCAAAAAGATGAGCCTGCTGTACCAGAACCACCAAAGACGGAACCAGTTCTACAGCTAACATCCCCACACTATTCATTCATCTATACAATGACACTAACATGTCCACTAAAAGAGTCAAAAAATCTTGTACAAATTACAACAAGGATTGATCTGCCTTCTAGCATAGCCCAAAGAAATAGAAATTGCTGTACCAG